TAGAATATCCTAAAACTTTAGCCGAAGCTCAACAATGAGGCCACCTTAAGATGAATCGACGGTCACGTCACAACGAAATGTAACCATCTTGCTGATTCATTAGCCAAGAAGTTAGACAACCAAATACTTTTTGGACCTGGCCCGGTAGTGCTAATAACCTAATTAAATAACATTCCCTTGTAAAATTCAAGGAAAGATGACATGAAGTAAGAAGCTACCAGGGAATTTCCAGGTTATCCTAACAACACTACGGCAAACAAATGCTTGACTATGAATAGACAGAATCTGCGAATAATCAGGCAATCTGACTGGTCATTGTCAAGTACGGAAGCATCTCCATTGGATGCGGTTGTTAGAATCCGCAGTCTGCAGGGGTGTGAACAAGAAGATGAGATATCCTCTACGATTGCCCGACTCATTTAATAGAAGATTTGTGTTTGGTGAGAATTGACTAACACGCTTGCCGATATGAGAGAAGCACCCTTGACGACGTTGTCAACTACATCAAATCTGTAAACTGGCTTACGAGCTAGGAGGTGCCTATCAACTTAGGAGGATACACAATCGGCATAGGGAGGCCTAAGTGCCTCAGGGATTACCCTGACCTGTAGTTGACTTTCTGGTGACATGAATACATCGTTAAGTTCAGAGGTACTCCTCAGGTATTAACCTGACCTGTACTTGACTATCTGGTAACATGAAAACAACATTAAGTTTAGAAGTACTCCTTAAGGATTAAACTGACCTGTACTTAACTTTCCGAATGGTAGAATTAACAGTTAATAGTAATTTGGAAAGAGCGCTCGTCCATTCTGACAAATTTCGAACTTTAACAATTAATAAATTAATATTATTTTTACAACATACCTCTCGACTTGCTCAGCAGCGCCCCTGCTATAATTTAATGACGCTATTTATATTTACGAATAAAGATTCTTTTTTATCGGTAAAATTTGTTCCACGATCAATTACAATACGTACCAAACATCGTTTTATAATTCTCTTATGTTTTAGTTATTTCTGCGCCGGTTAACGTTTTTTTTAAGGGTATAGAATTACATATTTCGTAAAAGCATTGACGATAAATAAAGCGTGTTTAAAACCATCTATGGTTATTTGTTATTTTAAGCCATGGCTCAACACAATCAATAGGAATTGTATGAAACGGAATATTTATTTCCTTTTCTCGTTGCTAACAAACGGTACGTGTGATGATTAATGACTTGGTCACTAGATAGCTTCATTTTTAACTCAGTGGTATCTATTGTTGAATAATTATTTCCACACTTAAACAAATTTAACAATAAATGTTTATGATTCTCTGCGTTTTATTTTTCTAAGCTTTTCTCAGTCGGTTATTGATAGAGATAATATAAATTCCTTTTATTGAAGAAAACATTTTTTTTTCTCATCGAATTTCTACCAAAATTCAAAAATTAAACGACTTCAAATAAACACACTATCTGTCTGTAGTAGACCACTGCTAAATTGTCCACATCATAAAAACAAATTTTGGAACCTATACCATTGCATCCAATTCTTATTTTACTATTTTTAAAAGTTACGTTGCGTACACCTTTTAACGTTATCAGTTCTCTAAATTACAATTGGAAGTTTTTGCTATTCTACATTTCTCTCCGGTATCTATCAGATAGTTGAATTATAAATTTATTCCAAAAAAAAAAACTATCTAAATCAATAAATAATATAATTGATTCAAGAGCTAGATGGTTGGTAAGTTTCTCTTTAAAACAATAAGCTCCATAGTGGCATTTTTTTTTTTTTTTTCAAAACACGAAAATAATATTTTTATCGGCTACATACAATTATTTGCCTCTACAGTATGACGGTGTTTCAAATGAATACCACCAATATGGTCAATAACAATTTCAAACCATTATTATTCAACCGACAAATTTAACGAATTAACACAAAAAAAGGACAGTCGCCAATATGACCAATAACAATCTCAAACAATCAATTAACTGATAAATTTAACGAATTAATACAAAAATTACATTCGCCAATATGGCCAATAACAATCTTAACAATCAATCAACTAATAAATTTAAAGAATTAATAATCTTGGAAATACTCATAGGAATAGTCAACCCCCAGGTACTACTTCTGATGTTAGATTTTATTAATTATTAAGTCAAATAATTATTTAGTTACCAAGTAATTACAGATAGAACACAATGCCAACAGCAACAATAGCTGATCATACTATAGACACTCAAGGCGACCCAATTCGTTCTGCCTGAAGGACCGCAGACGACCTATCGCTACTAGCGCCAGTGATGGATTTATGCCTAGGCCCGTTAGGCCCGGGCCTAGGGCGCATAATTTGAAGGGCGGCAAAATTTATGAAGTGCCAAAATTTTAGAGGCACAAAAAAGTAAAGACAATCAATTTCAAAAATTGGTTCAGATTAGTTTTTATAAAAAAAATTCGATAGAAAATATTATAATTCAATTCATTAATTTACTTCTCAATCTGTATGGGTAACATATTAATTTTTTAATCGATCAACTATAGTCTTTATCGAGTAATATTCTTTACTTTTTGTTCCTTTAGTGAGATTAATCTTACGTGTATGAAACATTTTGAAATTATTAAATGCGAAGACTTATCTATTTGTTTATAGTGTGTACCTGATTAAAAAAAAAGTATTAACATAAAGAAAAAAGTATTGGTTTTCTATTCAATCCAATACTTTTCAATACTTTTTTCTTTGTCTCAATATTTTTTTTTATTCAGGGGTTTTGAATATCGTTATGATATTCATTTAAAAGTGTCAGAACATTTTTTGTTTATAAAAATAATTTTTTATGAAAAATACCGAAAGATTTGCATGTACCTGATTAAAAAAAAAGTATTAACATAAAGAAAAATCTGATGTGTCCAACACATGACTTTCCTATCTAGTTATTATAGGCATTTTTCGGTTATTTTGTACAACCTATTGCAGCATCTCTATAAATGTTTAGAGGATAAACTAAATATATACATTTTACACATACATTTACCTCGAAAAATTTTTCTATAGATATTCACTGAAAACGAAAATACTGAAAAATTTAAATTTAGCACTTTTCCATTACGGTCCATTTTAGAAAAATCATGTATAAACAAAAATTATAGAGATCGATATCGCACACAACTTTAAGTTCAACAATTTTCATAAAAATCGGAATTTTGCACATTTTGTCAAATTTCTCGAATACGGACCATTTCAGGAAATTTTGACATAAAGCAAAAACTATAGATAATAATATTAGAAGTAACTTTTAATTGAACAATTTTCTTCTCCAAACATAAATAACAGATATATTCCATAAAATATAAAAACGGCCTCCCATAAAGTACCCCCCCCCCCCCCCAGATATTCCGACTTTGTCCAAAATCTAATCATTGCACGTCAGACCGAAATAAACCTTAAGTTTAAAATTTTATGTTTTTCCCTTTATCCGTTTTTGAGTTTTCTTCAAATTTCCAAATTTACACATTTTCTCAAATATCTCGAATACGGTTCATTTTAGAGAAATTATGTATAGGACAAAAATTATAGAGAATTTTATTACAAACAACTTTTATTTGAACAATTTTTATAAAAAATTATTTTTTTTACATTTTGTCAAATTTCTCGAATACGGACCATTTTAAGAAAATTTTGTATAAAACAAAAAATATAGATAATTATATTAGAAGTAACTTTTATTTGAAGAATTTTCTTCTCCAAACGTAAATAACAGATATATTCCATAAAATATAAAAATGACCACCTATAAAGTACCCCCCCAGATGTTCCGACTCTGCCCAAAATCTAATCAGCTCATTGGACGCTGAAACAAAGCTTAAGTTTGAAATTTGGTGTTTTTCTGTGTATCGGTTCATGAGTTATGCGTTATACAGACACACACACACACACACACACACACACACACACACACACACACACACACACACACAGACATCATCGCGAAAATAGTCAAAACGGATTCAGGGGACCTCAAAACGTAAAAATCCGTCGAAAACTCGAAGTCGAAAAAAATCATGATTCCTATACTTTCCTTATATCTGTATACAGATAGGAAAGTAAAAAAGTATTGGTTTTCTATTCAATCCAATGCTTTTCAATACTTTTTTCTTTGTCTCAATATTTTTTTTTTATTCAGGGGTATTGAATATCGTTATGATATTCATTTAAAAGTGTCAGAACATTGTTTGTTTATAAAAATAATTTTTTATGAAAAATAAATCCTGTCTTTTTTTTTCCATATTCAATTTTTTAAACCATCAAAATAGCTGTTAAAAAATTGAAAGTTTTATCTAAAATAAAAAAAAAATTAAATCGATATTTCTCATATTTGCAAAATCTTCAATTACATCTACAAATTTCAATAATTTCTGAAAATCCAAGTGCAAGAATTTTGAAATTTTTTAAATTAATGTATGTGAGCTGATGTATATTAAAGCGGTCGACTTATGATATGGTTACATTTATGTGGTTATTATAAATATAAATAAAAAGTTTTAAAAATTTTATTTATTATCTGAGTGTTTTATTTTTTTTTATCAGAAAGGGCGGTGTATTGAACGGGGCCTAGGGGGTAGCAAGCCTAAATCCGTCACTGACTACCGCCATCAGTTCCCCGCATTCTCCGCTCTTGACTGCCGATGTGCTTTACCGTACTACAATTAACAAGAATTTGTTTACTTGCTAACATACAGATACCCCAATTAGCTGAGCTGTTAATTTACTAGCTTGTAAGGTTGAATCGACATTTCGGTAAAGCAGATTCTTAAATATTTCATCCTGGAGCGTGTCCATCTGGCAGCATCCAAATGTGAAGTTATTGAATAATAAATTTCTACAATAATAGAATAATACATTTTCTTTTAATTTATATACTGATACCTGGATGAGGTAGAGGTAGATATTTAGAAGACAGTTTTAAATAAAATTTGAAAAGTTTATTAAACAAAAAAATTTAGAAGTTTAATTATTAGGAGTTTGCTTTGCATTATTTGATATACATATATTTTAAAAACTTCAAATTAATAAGTTGTGGGGTTTGTTTAAATTCTTAACATTTTTAAATTCAATATCATCACAAGCACTTGGCTTAGTGCCGTTAAGTAAACTACAAACTGCATATACAAAATCAAATATAGCCACATTGTCTAGGTCTTCATCATAAACATCATTAAATCTTATACTGGGAACATACTCGAGTTTGGGAACTAGCTTGTTTTGTCTGTCTTGAAGGGCCAAAAGAAGGGTATCAGCTCTACCGCTTGTGACACATTTTCTAATATCATAAAATGATACATTATTTTCTTCGGCACACTAAAAAGAATTAATTAACTTTAATAGATACAATGGAAAAAAATAGTATTTTGTGCAAGACATGCAGAAATATATTGATTAAAAAAGTGGCGGCACGAGCGCAAACAAATAAGAAATTGCATTTCTGCACGTGTTGCACACTATACTTTTCCTACAATCACTAACTAAAAATAAAAATAAAATTGTAATTAAATTTATTTCCAAAACCAATATTCATTATAATAAATAATTACAATTTTTCAGGTTAATTTAGTTAACTAATCTATGAAAATTACTGAAAAACAACAATTATTGCAAAAAATTGCTTATAAACTAATTTCTGACATAAAAAAATTCTGGAATATACAAGTGATGTACAATATTTTTCCTACGACCACAAAATATTTTTATCAAAAAAATGTAAAATCTGGCTATAAAGATTCAAATAAATGTGGTTGGTTTTAGATTTGTTTTTTTATGTAGCTTATTAAATATTTTTTTTACCTATTGTGTTTTGTCGAAAATTAATCAAAATTTTATAAAATAAATAGCGAAAAAATTAACTGTAGATGTAATATTAAGATAAATAAAATGTAGGTACCTATTTAAAATAAAATAACAGTCGCAATTTTTTAATTTTCACATATTTTTTAAAAATTAAAAAATTAAAAAATTGCTTCCATCGGTGGGGATTTAACCCGAGTCACGATGAGGTAGAAACATGCAAAGTTGATAAATTTGAACGCTCTATGAACTAAGCTAACAAGCTTGTAACAGAAATTATCGTATATCTAATTAAATATTTATATTTACAAAAAAAAAAAAACTAAAATTAATGTAGTTACCTACTTTAAAATTATGTTATAATTTGTTAAAAATAAATATCTAGAATTTAGGTATAAAAATCAGTATTTACGATTTAATCATCATATCTATTTTACTATTACTATTACATAGATTACTATTATATTATCAGGGCATAATTTTTAGATGATAGGATGGTTTATCGTTAATGAATTTGAAAAATCAGCAATCAATAGTTTATTGATAATTTTTGATCGGATGTTAATTATCATAGACGTTCTTGAGCATATGTTACTGTACTAAATCGGAAATTGAATTTACCTGTTTAATTATATCTTCAGTTTCGTCGAAAGTTATATCCATACTAGTGTTCTTTGTATGACAATTAACAAAACTTATTAATTGTGATTGGGTGGGTTCAAAACTGGTAAGGCAGGCATCAACTTTGTTAATGTAGCACTCTAATGGTCCGTGTTGACACTCCCATTGCCAACCATCGTCAGTCTTAGTTGCAGACTAAAAAGGAAAGAAATACAGAAAGCCTTTTTTAAATAACAATTTAAACAATTTTGATCAAAATCATTAAAAATGTGAATGTTTAAACTAAAAGAAGAATGAATTAATATCTAGATATGAAGAGAAGATGATGTATACTTTTAATATACAGGTTAGGAAAAAAGTATACGAGCCGTATGGTGTCTATTAATTGTAGACTGCAGTATGCTAATAAAATATTCGTAATACGCTGGAGAGCATCGTAATCGAATCGGTCAACATTCAACATGTAGAGTAGTTTCGGGAAATATTGCAACAACTCCACCCACAATGGTCGGAGTAGAAAACATGGCACGAGATTCGAAAAAGAATTGCAGGGAACGCTTGACGTGTCGCAATATATCGTGAAACTATTCTAGGTACCTACGCTATTACAAGTAAACCATTTGGTTTGAAAATACTGCAGATGTTTATACAATTTTATTTTTAAAATGCCGCTATTGGCAAATAATTCTTAGATTTACAATATATGTAAATATTTATTTAATTAGAGGAAACAACATCCCGCCTCAGTTAATGCATTACTAAACTTTAGTCAGACTTTAGCTTGCTTGAATCTAGGATCTTGATAATAATAATTAAAACGCTAAATTAGTGATGACGTAATTAGGGTTCCACTGACAATTACAGTGATATTCTTTTTTTATTAGCGTTTTGTTCGTTTTGTTCATTTTGTTTACCTACCTAAATTATATTGTTTTAGAACTTTTATAAATATATTTCTACTAGCCGTCCTTTTTAATATAAAAAAAATGCACGACTTTCCAAAAAAAAGGAGTGATATGTTTTTTAGTATTCATGGTATGTATGTGATAGTATTATACAGTGCTTTTCAGATAAAAGTATCCACCTTAAGTAACTTTTGAAGGACTGATTATTACAAAAAACAAAAAAATACGTTAATTAATATTCGAAGGGGGAGATATCGTGCCATATTTAAGTTTGCTAAAAAAGTCACCCTTTCACCCCTACTATCATCCCTTCAATTTTTTAAATGGCTTGCCCCATTTTTTTTATCCATTTTTGGATTGCTCTCGTTTAACTGATTTCAAAAATGTATAAAACATGGGGATTAAAGTAATTAGTTTACGATCTACAGAATTTTAAATTAAAATAAAATTGAATTGTGCAAAACTTTTATTTTAATGATTTTGTCACAAGCGTTTCCAATGACAAAACAAATGTTTCATTTTCAAAATTTATTATAAAAATTGTTCAAAATGTCCACCATTTACTTCCATACAATGGTATAACCTAGATTGAAAAGCTTGCCTGACATTACCGAACACGTGTGCATTTAAATGTAGGCATTCATACTCTATTCTTTGTCGTAAATCTTCTAAAGATTCTGGTTGGGTAGCATAAATTTTTGTTTTTAAATAACCCCATAAAAAGAAGTCTAGAGGTGATAAATCCGGTGATCTAGGTGGCCACTCCATCATCGAGCCTCTTCTACCTATCCAACGATTGGGGAAAGTTTCATTTAAAAATTGTCGTACTGGCAAAGCAAAATGTGGAGGCGCTCCATCCTGTTGAAAGATAAGCAAATCTTCAGAAAGATTATGATCATTTTCTATTATTGTTGTAATACGTGGATCAATTACTTCTCTCAATAACTCAAGATATGACTCTCCATTTAAGTTTCCGTCTAAAAAGAAAGGTCCGACTATGTGGTCACCTAGGATACCACACCATACATTTAACTTTTGAGGATTCTGTGTGTGGTATTCACGCACAACATGTGGATCACTCTCAGCCCAATATCTGCAATTATGTCTATTAACTAAACCATTAACTGAAAATGTGCATTCATCCGAAAAACAAAGGTTGTGCAACAAATGTGGATTGTCAGTCAAGCGCTGACTCAATAGTTCACACAATTCAAGACGACGATCAAAATCATCTTCATACAACTCTTGAACCAATTTAATTTTGTATGGATGGTACTTATGCTTGTGTAATATTCGATAAACTGTGGAAGATGAAACACCTACTTCTCTGCTTATTGTTGTCAGTGACTGTGCTTGTTGATGTTCAAGACTTACTTGTCCTAAAACTGCGACTTCAATTGCTTCGTTATTTACAAGTTCCAGTCGGTTATGTTTTGTATTGCCAACTGACCCGGTTGATGTAAATTTATGCATAAGATCAATTACATACTTATGAGTTGCATGACCTCCTTGGTGTGTTTCGTTGAAAATTCTACCAGCAGCTCGTGCAGAACTGTTATTTTTGTAGTATAATTCTTTCTTGTAAACTGTAAACCATTTTCAAATCAAATAAATAACCTCAACAAATCAATGTGCACATGTATCAAAATACACTATAAAAGTAATTTAAATTCATTTTTCAAATCTCCAATACCTTTACCATGTATCATAAAAAACTTCAACAAGCTTTTAGCGGTACGATTAAGGTATAATGTATTCTAAATCCAATTTTGCTGCAGTCAGTAAGGTGAGATGTAAAAATTTGTCACTCAAATAATGGAACCCTGTAGATCATAAACTAATTATTTTAAACCCCATGTTTTATACAAAATATTTGGCTACTACTTACAGCTCCACCGAAAGGGACCAAATCTATAAGAAACGAGTCTCCTAATTTTTGGTAGCCTGGATATAGTTGTTCCAATATAAATTCATGACAGCCTGGACAGAGTCCCTCGTAATATAGCACCACTCTCAATGGTGATTCCTATAAAATAAATATAATTAAATAAACAAATTTAGTCACAGCTACTTTTAGCGTATTCGTAAATCTATTTGTAACATTTTTTGGGATTTTTAAGGGTTCGTTGGTAAGGTTGGTAAGGAAAATTGTTTTTTCTAGAATCACTATCTAAAGTAGGCTTTTGCACGTTCAAATCTAACTGGAAAGTTGACGTTTTCCGCGAATTGTCATAATTTGACATTATTGCCGCACATAGGCGGAGAGTTACTTTTTGCACGCGCCTATTTTCATTAAAAATTTTCATTAGAAAGGTTGTTATTATAAAGCTAATCGGTATTTTAAAACAAAATGTTAGCTAATCTAAATCTTTTAGTTGAACACTTAATACTCAAACTCATTTTCCTTAATATTTAAAAGATAATTGAAATATTAAAAATAAATTACCCTGTTTTTAACCCTAATATTTAACATGCCTTGTTGGTGTAGAGCCTGACGCATTGGTCTTTCAACCTAAAGGTCGTGAGTTCAATCCATGTTCAATCCTCACCGGTTACTGTATCATTTATTTTAAATTAATTTTTTTATTCGTAAAATAAAAACTTTTAAAACAGTGGATGAGCCATCAGTTTGCTATTAAGGCCAAGTCATGGAGGAAGGATTATAAATACGGACCTAAGGAATCTTACAAAACAAATATTTTCAGACAAAGTTCTTAAAAAAATATTTTCTTTTGTGACTTTTGAACTACTTTTACATTCAATAAACTACAAAACACGTGTTAAATGTCTGAAATTGTTAAAAGTCATGCAACTGCTAGTCTTAAGAAAGCGGACATTAGTGTTAGATAGCAGCATCTTTATTATATGTTTCTAGGTAATAGGTATTTGTGTATTAAGAGCGGAAAGTGCTACTTTGCCGCTTTTGAGATAAAAAGTTGCCGCGCGATGCGCAGCATTTTATCGTAAGCGGCAAATAGCTTTCCGTTCGAATTACACACAATATTTTTTCTACAATCACACGAAAATGAACAAAAAATACATTTTTATATGGCAATTTGTCGCTTTTTTGTCGTAAATTTTTCGTAGAAAAAATTATCGTTCATTGCCTTTATTTATCGCTCCTCCCCCTTTTGACATAAACCCCTTTTAAGGCCAAATTCAACGCATTGTCAATGACAAGTGACGGCGACCTTTATATCACAAAAAATACAGCTCTGAATAATAATTGTTTTTAAAAAGCCTATAGTTTGTTTTACTTTTAATGTATAATATTTTAATAAGTGATATTTAACAAATATTTAAAAGTTATGGACATACCACCATTTTTTATAGTATTTAAAAGCTAAAACGCAAAATACACTCTTTGATATTTGCCCTAATTATTTCAGGAATCTTGTGTTAAGATTTAAAAATATATTGGTGCCAATTTGCAACCGTGCTAATTTGCGACAAACTTTTTATTAAACTCATCGTGTTACGTATTTGTTGACATTAAGAGATAGAATTTAAGTGACGTCTTGTATTACTTCGAATGAAAAATCGTTTTCTAGCCTAAGAAAAAAGTTGAACTTGGCCTTAAAGAGTATTCTAAACTCTAACCGATCATAGAATAAATCTTTACGTAAGCAGCAACACAATATACACAACATACTTTTCGTTGGTGACCGGAAAAAAGCGCAAAGGAAATAAGCGCACAGGAAATATGCGCACAGAAAAAAGCGCACAGGAAATAACCGCACGAGGAAATATATGCGCACACGGAAAAAACCGCACACGGAAAAAAGCTCACGGGTATAAAAGCACACATGGAAAAAAGCGCACATGGAAAAAGCGCACATTGAAAAAAGCGCAAAGTGCATGTAGTTTATATTTATATTTTGTTACAATTTTTTGTTGTTTGATTAAAACTTTAATTATCGTTGTTTACAGTAGTTACCATAATTTTTGCTGATAATTCAGGAATCTACTCAGTTATTTATTCGGAATTATTATAAGTAAAACGATACAAAGAATAGATTTGTACCTTGGTTTGTTATATTCCAGGTGAAAAATATTAGACAAGTTTAAAAAAATTCTTAAAATACTTTCACAATAAAGTTAATACGGTTTATAATATTTATATCTCCATTATGAATTGTTGAGGACAGACTAATTCCACCAAATTCGCTTTTAAAAAATCATAACGATCAGTTTCGCCGCGAGGAAATTATGCTGATGGGGATGTATATTTTACTTATCTCATACAGTGTGTATCTTAATTAAAACGAAATATTTGCAAGTGGTCATTTATTTTTACTGGAGAGTATAAAATTAAAATGGGTATTTATTATTTCATTTACTAGTTGCTTTTTTGTTAATAATTTTTAATTCAGGATAAATCCCATGCCGTCAATCTCTTTCTTTATAAGTTGCCACATTGCAGTTTCAAGTAACTTGTATACTTTCGTCTTTTAACAAGCAGAAGGCAACGGAAACAGACATTTCATTTGCATATGCATGGATGTTAAACAGTTTGGCAGCTCATTTTTCCCATTTAAGTTGGCGAAATTAACGAAATTTTTCGAAAATAATTAAAGGGTCACTAAACGGCATTTACAAGAATTGATAGTCGAACCGTTTTAAATAAAGACACGAATTAAACTCAAACTGTGCCTAATATTTTAACATTTAAAATCTTCTTAGAATAATGTTAGGTACTCATATCATTAATATCTATTTATTACAGACCGTTACATTAATTAGACAAAAGTTTTGCAAATTTAACAATCTTCTTTGAATATTGTAAGGTAATTAGGGATTATATCATTAATATCTATTTATTATGGACCTTAACCTGAATTAAACTAAAAATTATCAAAATTTAAGAATCTTCGTAAAATACCGTTAGGTTTTTTGGAATTCTGTCATAATAACTTTATTTCATAATATTTTATAATAAATTACGTTTATAAGTAAGTTACTAGTAAGTTACTGAAGACTGGTTTTATTTTTGTTTTGCACTAATTTTAAAATTCAGACAAGTGTACTATATTTTTTATTGATAAATAGAATTGGTTTTTGGTTCGAAATATTTTTGGAGTTCTATGATGATTTTTGATCATTGTTTTCATTTATAATGTTATAATCGTTAACGATTTGTAATAATTATATTTATGAAATTCCGGTTGTAATGATTTTGCATTTTTTGTAAAATGGCGAGTTTTATAGGTACATATTTTATCTTTAAAACCTAAATATTTTTGCAATTCCATGTTGATTTTATTTTAATTTTATAATCGCCAACTATTTGTACTAATATATTCATGGATTTGTGTTAATATTTTTTTTATATAATAATGTAGGTACAAACGTAAAATGCATATAGGTTTTTAGTGTAATATATTTTTATTCCATATTAATACATTAAAAACGAAAAAATGAATAATATAACAAAAGATAAACGCACTTTAATAGACGTACTACTGTAAGTTGGCTATTTTTTCTACAGAACTGGCTGCAAGCGCGTACAGTTGTCTGTACATATTTCTTTTTGGTGGGCTCCAGTCTGTTAGCTTGGGAGTTCACCAATGTAAGTTTGTGGCATGCTAAATCTCTTCTCAATCCATCGAAAAGCATCCATATGCTCGGATGACTGCAATAAAATATGGAATTAAGGGCATTGTGAAACCCTTCACAACAATTGGTCGTTCTTGGCGTTTCATCAAAAGCGGCATCGTAATCGTTCCATATTCTCGGATGGAATTGTGGACTTTTTCCGGCGGCACCTTGTATATAAGTTGAAAAAAAATATGTAAGGACGTCATTAAATCTCTCTTCACCAGGAAAAGTTTCTGCAAGACTATTAAAATTATCTCGTACATCTTATAACGGCACAAACGATAATGCTGCCAAGGATTTTAGTTTTAATTTTGTGTCGATGTTCGATTCTAATTTCGATTTTAAACCAACTGCATTAACTTTTCTTATAAGGCTTTGACACAAATGGAAATAACATCCCTTAATTTCGGCTTCTGGAAGAGTTCGACCTGCAGCATTCATGCAGGCTTTCTCGAAATCTAAAAGTATCTTTTGGGGCGCCATGCTTGGAACTAGCCCTTTTACAATTTGAAACATCTGTAGGGATGTTGCTTCATTCTTAGTTTGTAACAATATGTACACACATGGTGGATACGAATTTCCTACTTTGGCATGCAAAGTTTAAAGTTGATAAAACATCGTTGGTGCTTTATCAAATGTTCCGTCGCCGAATAGAGTGGCTTGGTTTAATTCGCACAATAACTCGCGATCTCCCAAAATTAAAATTCTGTTTGGATCTTCGACTCCAGAATCATGCAGCACTAAGTCCGAGTATTTGTCAGGAATTGCAAAATGCATCGTAGATGGATTTGGCAAGTGCTTCTCTGCTCGATAATTTCGAAGTGTTCTGGCAAGAGACGATTGTTTTGGAATACAAGCAAGTGCATCATTGCTTACTCCTGATAATTTTTCTGCAATAACATTGCGAGATGTAGCATTCACCGCTGTCATGGCTTCTCGCATTTGGCTTCTGGCGATATCTGCTTCTGCTTTTTGGGGACATGAATCATGACAATGACTGCCTGGATCTTGTACAATGTCCTTGTCCTTCGTTCTTATTAAGGAATGGCACTTAGTTTGTCGATTTTCACGGCATCTCCATGTATCTATCCCATTTGTTTTGCGAAAATGTATATATTCAAAACCATGGTAAATAAGAACTCGCTTGCCTTTTTGACTAGACGAAAACTCCATTTCGTTTATTACAAAAATTCAACTTAACTTTTTCAAGAATTAGAGAACAATAAATTAACTTTAAATTCCGTAGTCTATTTATAAGCGCATTTACTTACCTGCCTTAATTCTACAAATAATAAATTCCAAGAAATATAATAATGTCACAACGCCGTACCTATCTAAATTTTATAATCACTAGTAAAAATAAATGACCACTTGCAAATAATCGATTATTAAAAAATAATTTAACAATCTCGGGGCGATCACTTCCGTCACAAGGCTGGTACCCTGCTATAAGTACCCATTCAATTACGGCATAATCGCGCTTCAAAGGGATTAAAATGCTAAGAAATATTTCTAGGAATAAAAATATTTGTAAGATTTTAGATATTCATTAGAATGATAAATACTGAAAATGCATAACTTTTACAAAAACATATTTAGATCAAATATTGTTCCTATAATCTAAAATTTTAAATTGTATAAAATTATTTTTTTTATTGTGGTACTTTTTAAATTTTTTGTTAACAGTTTGTTGGGTTAATTTTAACATATGATTGAGCTTGACAATTTAATAAAATATGTACAAAATGGTATAAACTCGGTTGAGAATTATAGAAGTTGGATTAAAATCAGAATGCCATTCCCATGCATTTGTTGTTCTGTGTACATAATATCTGTGATATAAGTCCGCATATTTGGTGGTTACTTTTCACACCGATATAATTTTTGACTATGTATTCATAGAACTTAATTTTTTAATTTTTATTCAGAGAATCCTCAGTTGTTCTGTATCCTATTCTTAACGAGATATAAACTACATGTACTTTGCGCTTTTTTCCATGTGCGCTTTTTTCCTTGTGCGCTTTTATACCCGTGCGGTTTTTTCCGTGTGCGTATCTTTCCACGTGCGCTTATTTCCTGTGCGTTTATATGTTAGTGCGCTTTTTTCTGTGCGGATATTTCCTGTGCGCTTATTTCCTTTGCGCTTTTTTTCGGGATTCGTTTCTATTGGGGACTTAATTAACACCAAAGATCTATCGCAGATATTTCTGATGTAGAAGAGGACCAGAACAATTTGGTTTGAAGCAGTGAGGAGCGCAAATTTTTGGCCTTTTTGGCTTTGGAAACCAATAAGCGAGACCGATTTTTTGTAGTTAAAATTGAGCAAGTTAATAATAATAATAATACTCTCCCTAATTCACCCCCTTACGAGTGAATTTGAACCCCAAAAGCTGAGCTATTATTATTATTATTATTATTATTATTATTATTATTTGCCGTGGCGCTCCGGGGCGACTTAGAGATGATTGATGGTGCCATTTGACTTACAGGTGAGGAAAACCCGGAAAATCTCACCCACCATAATCGAATGAACTGGGCAATAACTTTACTATCAACTGCTTACGAAAAACAATTACACAAAAAGAAACATTTTTCGTGTAACCCAATGTAAAAGACATATCCGAAGTTAAACAGGACCAAATAGTCAGAAAATATTTGGAAAGTCCTCAAGAAGAGGCAGGCAGGCAATATATACACAAGTAGAAGTTGGTAATGCTTTTGGTAGGTCAAGCCACGTCGGAAGGCTTCGAGAATTTCGCAGTAATGTTTACCTGCCAGTGTCGTTTCATAGAATACGTAATTTTAAATTGTTACCGGCCGAACCGGACAATTGCATGTATTTATAAACTATAAATAATTATTAAACATGTATTATAATATTCAAATTTTAATTTTACAAAATTTCAAGAGCTATTCACAATTTATTAAACTATTTACTCGAAATTAACATTTATAAAATAATTTTGTACGCCAATGTATCCGCCGCAAACCTGTCAATGTATGTGTATAAAGTGGGAGAAATGGCAAAAGCCTTACCAACTTCTACCCCTGCTATACTTGTTAATAGAGAAACCGAATTCTTAAACTGGGCAGAGCATGGACGTAGTCCAGAGGGCTGAAGCCTACCGACTGGTCCATGCTTCAAACTAACTTAACTAGGTATAATATTCATCGAATCCGAATCGAAAGACATATTGCGGAAGTTGCGATGAAATTATCTATTAGAGTCTAAACTGAGATAATTAAATTATTACACGTATGACTACCTAAATATAATACGATTTTTTTGTATGGTGTAATTCATATGCCCAAAGATAGCTGTATTTTTAAATAAAAAATATATTAACCTGTGCACTATAGGAAATACAGGATAAACCCACGATTAATAATACGAACTTTGAGATAAACATTTTATGTATTGGTTTCACAAACTGTACCTGGTTTGTTGTATCATTACCATTTTATAGCTAGGTAAAAACACTTATGTATTATTTCCAGTAAATCAGAAGATTACAATAATATGATCAAGAACAATTAAAGTTGATAACAAGCCTGTTTTTTATGTAAAAAAGTTCCGTGTAAAAGAATATCTATTCAGAATACTCGAAATAATCAGAATACTTGAAAGATCCAGATATTTAAATCTATTCATGAGAAATCCATGGCCGTCGTTAGGGGGGAGGGGGGGGGGGCAAGGGGGGACAATTTTGAAGCTGAATACCAAACTGGAGTACGAAAGAGCTTTCTATACACAATGAGATCTCCATTTAGCGTCCAAACATTGTGAATTTTATTCAGATTTAAAAATTATTTATGGCTCTTCCACCAACGACAGAGTTAATCGAAAGAACGTTTAGCCTAAGGCATGTTACAACATGGCTGCGGTCTATTCGATCAGTGCGAAGTCATATTAGGAGAAGCAAAAGCGATATTAGTGCAAGCTGCGAATAATTCGAGTACTTTAGGGGGATATTTTGTAATCTTGGCGAATCCCGGAAAAAATCGCAAAGGAAATAAGCGCACAGGAAATATCCGCACAGAAAAAAGCGCACAGACATATAAACGCACAGGAAATAAGCGCACGTGGAAAGATGCGCACACGGAAAAAACCGCACGGGTATAAAAGCGCACAAGGAAAAAAGCGCACATGGAAAAAAGCGCACATGGAAAAAGCGCACATTGAAAAATGCGCAAAGTACATGTAGTTTATATCTCGCAGAACAACTGAAGATTCTCTGAATAAAAATAAAAAATTAAGTTCTATGAATACATAGTCAAAAATTATATCGGTGTGAAAAGTAACCACCAAATATGCGGACTTATATCACAGATATTATGTACACAGAACAACAAATGCATGGGAATGGCATTCTGATTTTAATCCAACTTCTATAATTCTCAACCGAGTTTATACCATTTTGTACATATTTTATTAAATTGTCAAGCTCAATCATATGTTTTTTTTTCCTGGGCTCGTCTGACTATGTGTCTCCGAATAACACTGAAGCCTATTGGCTTATTGTGTTTTACCCCATGTTAGTTCATAGCACCCACTCTATCACCTTTGTACCTTGTACAAGTTTGTACAGATCCTTGGGTGAGTGGGTTCTATACGTTGTTGGATCAACCTGGGGTTGTCCAAAAAGAGCCTGTCTTTTGCGATCTAGAGCTTCGCATTCGCACATTATGTGTTTGGCCGTTTCTGGTTTCTTGTGACATAGTCGGTACATGAGTTCCCCATTGTACATGCCAATTTTGTTCAAGTGTCCCTTTACTGGGGCGTGCCCAGTCATGAACCCTGTTATCACTTTCAACTGGTTCCTATTCATTAAGAGTAGTTCTCCAGTTCTTTTGGGACATGGTCTGCCTATGAAGGCTTTTCCATGTGCCTATTTTGGGGTGCTTCCCCAATAGTTGATATGTTGTTCCCAAATCCAGTCATTTATAAAACCCCGGACTGTACTATTTGGTACTCCTGGGTTTGTGTCAATCATATGTTAAAATTAACCCAAAAAATTGTTCACAAAAAATTTAAAAAGTACCACAATAAAAAAAATAATTTTATACAATTTAAAATTTTAGATTATAGGAACAATATTTGAACTAAATATGTTTTTGTAAAAGTTATGCATTTTCAGTATTTAACATTCTAATGAATATCTAAAATCTTACAAATATTTTTATTCCTAGAAATATTTCTTAGCATTTTAATCCCTTTGAAGCGCGATTATGACGTAATTGAATGGGTACTTATACCAGTCTTGTGACGGAAGTGATCGCCCCGAGATTGTTAAATTATTTTTTAATAATCGATTATTTGCAAGTGGTCATTTATTTTTACTAGGGATTATAAAATTATAACATTTAGATAGGTACAGGCGTTGTGACATTATTATATTTCTTGGAATTTATTATTTGCAGAATTAAGGCAGGTAAGTAAAGGCGCCTATAAATAGACTACGGAATTTAAAGTTAATTTATTGTGCTCTAATTCTTGAACAAGTTAAGTTGAATTTTTGTAATAAACGAAATGGAGTTTTCGTCTAGTCAAAAAGGCAAGCGAGTTCTTATTTACAATGGTTTTGAATATATACATTTTCGCACAACAAATGGTATAGATACATGGAGGTGCCGTGAAAATCGATAAACTAAGTGACATTCCTTAATAAAAACGAAGGACAAGGACATTGTATAAGATCCAGGCAGTCATTGTCATGATTCATGTCACCAAAAAGCAGAAGCAAATCTCGCCAGAAGCCAAATGTGAGAAGCCATGACAGCGGTGAATGCTACATCTCGCAATGTTATTGGAGATAAATTATCAGGAGTAAGCAATGATGCACTTGCTTATATTCCAAAACAATCGTCTCTTGTCAGAACACTTCGAAATTATCGAGCAGAGAAGCACTTGCCAAATCCAGCTACGATGCATTTTGCAATTCCTGACAAATACTCGGACTTAGTGCTGCATGATGACTCTGGAGTCGAAGATCCAAACAGAATTTTAATTTTGGGAGATCGCGAGTTATTGTGCGAATTAAACCAAGCCACTCTATTCGGCGACGGAACATTTGATAAAGCACCAACGATGTTTTATCAACTTTATACTTTGCATGCCAAAGTAGGAAATTCGTATCCACCATGTGTGTACATATTGTTACAAACTAAGAATGAAGCAACATACCTACAGATGTTTCAAATTGTAAAAGGGTTAGTTCCAAGCATGGCGCCCCAGAAGATACTTTTAGATTTCGAGAAAGCCTGCATGATTGCTGCAGGTCGAACTCTTCCAGAAGCCTAAATTAAGGGATGATATTTCCATTTGTGTCAAAGCCTTATAAGAAAAGTTAATGCAGTTGGTTTAAAATCGAAATTCGAATCGAACATCGACAGAAAATTAAAACTAAAATCCTTGGCAGCATTATTGTTTGTGCCGTTGTAAGATGTACGAGATAATTTTAATAGTCTTGCAGAAACTTTTCCTGATGAAGAGAGATTTAATGACGTCCTTACATATTTTTTTTCAACTTATATACAAGGTGCCGCCGGAAAAAGTCCACAATTCCATCCGAGAATATGGAACGATTACGATGCCGCTCTTGATGAAACGCCAAGAACGACCAATTGTTGTGAAGGGTTTCACAATGCCCTTAATTCCATATTTCATTGCAGTCATCCGAGCATATGGATGCTTTTCGATGGATTGAGAAGAGATTTAGCATGCCACAAACTTACATTGGTGAACTCCCAAGCTAACAGACTGGAGCCCACCAAAAAGAAATACAGACAACTGTACGCGCTTGCAGCCAGTTCTGTAGAAAAGTATCAAGAAACAGATACGTACGTTTGTACCTACATTATTATATAAAAATTATATAAACACAAATCCATGAATATATTAGTACAAATAGTTGGCGATTATAAAATTAAAATAAAATCAACATGGAATTGCAAAAATATTTAGGTTTTAAAGATAAAATATGTACCTATAAAACTCGCCATTTTACAAAAAATGCAAAATCATTACATTAGGAGGAGCCACGTGAATGATTCCTGATAATGAAATTAAGTGGTAGCTTTTTTTTGACGAAACTTTTTAGTATTTTTGATCAGAAAATTTCACCCGTTTTCAAGAAAAACGCAATTGAACGGCTCAAACAATATTTCATTTATGAAAAGATTGTTTTGCAGTGTCAGATAATTTGCTGTTAGATTATAGTCTATTATTATTATTATTATTATTTAACGCCCTGTATCTTATTCCATAGTAATATTTTATTAAGGTATATTTGGCCCTATCGCCATATTTTGGTCCAAATAACCTGCCCTTAGCCAATGTCTTAATAGTTATGAATCACCCTGTATATAAAACATCTTTGTAATCAGCTGGACAAAAAACACAGATAAAAAGGATTGGAGAATTAGAGAATTTTCTTTATTAACGGGCCAAATCATAATAAATCAATAATTCTAATACTTGAAAAAAAAAATCTACTAATAAAGAATATATTTTTAAAATGAACAAATAAAAGATTAAACGACGATTGGGACACTCCCAATGGGACTATCACTATCGACACGATACCTAGTGTTGTGAAATATCAAAATCACTTTTACTCTATTAGATTGGCCAAGCAATAGAGGACGCTGCAATTTTAAAACTACAAAATTGTAATGAGTGCTACAAGTGTTAGGGGGATAAAATTAGGCTTATATTAAGATTTTAAATAGAACACGGTTTTAATAAATTATTCGATTAGAATTTTAGCCTAACTACCAAGAACATACCCACGCTGACTTCCAGATTACTCACATATTACTCACATTTGCCATTTACTCACAAAATTACTCACAAACTAGTAAATTACTCACAAATGTGAGGAATTACTCACAGATTGGCAACCCTGTTACATATATTTATACAATGCTATTACTCGAGAAGATAAACCCACTCGCATGCGATCAGCCCATCTCTCTCGCACGCCTGACGTCACTGGGAGACTACCCGACTCGGCAACAGCCAGTTCTATACGGCGCAAAGCAGTTTTGCCAATGAACTGGAGTGGGGTAGAATGCTTGTCAATAGACTTGATGAGCGACTCTATGGGCGAAGATAGGTTATTTTCCATCTCACTCAGGAGTATTTAAAATAACCATTTTCTATTTCACATTGTTATTGTCTGATCCACCAGCTTGTGGATTGAACAATAACAATGTGAAACAGAAAATGGTTATTATAAATAGTCCCGAGTGAGATGAACAATAAAAATGGCTGCGCCCATCGAGTCGCACCTTGTTCTAATAGTAAAACATGTACAATGGCATTCTACCCCCCTCCAGTTCATTGAGTTTTGCGTGTATTTTAAAATCTGTTTATTAAATAGGGATATGAAAAATCCAAAGTGAGAAATGACAAAAATTGTAAAATAAATTAAAAGTGTAAATTTGTAAATATTTGTCCTATAAAA